CAAAATCCCTCTCCTAAGTACTGCGGCTAACTTTAGCCGCGGTTAGCGCTTCGAGCAAACGGGCCCTGGGGATGTTTTGACGTGCAACCGAAAGCTCGGTTACACGGCGCCTCCTCCGTAATAAGAAGAGCGGAGAAGCTTAACTCATCGGATCCCGAAGTAGTCACATAATGCATATACCGTGTGTGTGTCATTGAAGCAGCAGTAAGCATGATAATCAAGCTAATCCTAGACAACCAGGAAAGCTAAGAACAACCAGCTGAACCTAAGCTTATGCTACGTATATCCTGGCATAACCGAGCTAAGCCACTGTTTGGTTTTTTGGGCGTGCGTGTAGTACGGGTCTTTGGCACCACTGTGGCCCAAACTGAGATCGCTATATATCTGTGGACAAGCGTTTCTTTCATACATTTGGAAACGACCGAAAATCAGTAAAGGAGGTAGGAGTGCTATACTCTTCCCTGGTCTAACCAAACTGTCAAAACAGTTCTTGCCCACTACGCAACACAGTTTTATTGGTTACCGAAAAAACAAAATACTCTGAAAGCCCGAGCATTTTTCTGATGTAGTGATTACTTATAAACATGTGCGTATGAGCAATCTAAATTAAGCTGGGACAGGGGTACAATAAAATGTAAAACGAATGTTTCAAAAAGTCGGGGCTCCAAACCACACCGTGAAGGCGGTTGGCCAGCGAAGCTGTGGTATCACCTGCAACGATTGCCCACTGCACGATACCAAATGATTGACGAGAGAAAAATAATTTCTCTGTACCAATGTAACAAAACATTTTATGTATGAAAGGCTAGTGACGTCACTCCCTACGTCGCAAGCTGCCGTCGCCGCGGCAGCTTGCGCAACAGTAATCATGACCGGGAAACGTATGCGGTGGGCGCTACGTGCTTTGCATTGTTTTCAGGAGCTCCTTATCATTCATTATATGGTAAGGATGCTTGTTTTGTGCTTGTTCTTTATTGAAACGCTGTGCTGTATGTTGTATGCGTGATATGCACTTTTCGCATAATTTTTTTTTCCGTGAGGACGCTGACACAAGGAAATCCGACCATTGAGTTAGATACAGCTCCGTTGTAAACCTATACACCAAAAAGTAACAGACGCCTCAAACTCAGGTGCAGCAAAATAACGGTTCGATCGACTATTATCATCTGATCTGGTTCACTGCACCTTACTTTGGCGTACCTACTCCTAACTCCAACATGAACCATGCAGAAGCGTGAAAACACAAAGGACGCCCTGCCGCCAATCGAGTCGAGTACTCGCAACGCTCACGGCCTATAGGGGGCGCGCTGGTTCCTATCGAAATGGCTGTCATCTCGATGATCGTCGTAGAATAGCAGCAAAATAGCAGTACGAAGTTGGGTCTGCGACGCGTAAGTAATTCTACTTTTGTGAAATAAGAGCGATATAAGAACCTTACCTCATATTTCCACTGCAGCAAGGTGTAAGCAAGCACCTTCATCCTGAAGCCAATCATCCAGGAGCCAGAGAGCAGGATTTTCACACCGCGGTACCACTATCGCTGAAAGTTGCGCGCCAAATGCCCAAAATGTGAAAATGTCACCGGTCAGAAGCCTTTTATTGGAACGCTTCATACAGATGCCGTGAATTTCTTAAGCTCGCGGTCAGCCCGCAAAGAAACAGCACGGCTAACACAAGCACACAGCTATTGCGGCCAGTGAATACACCGCAAAATCTTGATGCCAAATTTTAATATCTATACATCATGAGTTCGTTCTACATGTCCTTGAGGTATAGCCGCACTTTCTCACGCCGTACATGAGTAGATTAGCTAGTACAGTGTGATTGCTAGCCTTGGAAACACGATCGCACGCCGCTGTGATGCATGTTTACGAATCCCCAGCCCAGAGGCTATCACCGACTAAACCAGTCATACACAGAATGCGCCGCAATCCTGCACTTCTACAGCGAAGCTGTTTCTGTCTAGGGTTCCGTAGATTTTTCGTGTGCAGTGACAGCGCCTCCGCTATACTGTCAAAGCCTGGCAGATCGCCACGAGAAGCGGCCCCGAAGTTGTAAAGGTAAAGCGGCAGACAACGAATGACAGGAGAGCCACGTGACGGGCGCCCCGCTGCGTCGAGACGCCGAAACACACTTGTCCCGAGCGACGGAATGTCCGCTCGTGCTCCGCGCGTTCCTCGCGCTACTGGTTCTTTTCTCGTCGGGTTTCAAAACCATGTTTCGGGTCCTCGCCTCTGCAAAAGTTGTGCGCTGACGACCAGGTTCCCCGAGAAATGCTCTGTGCTACCAGATCCTCGCGCTGCAAATCTGCGACCGGGCACTTTATGGCTCAGTCGTCGAACTGCCAGGCCAATAAATTTAACAGGCTCACGAAATGCTTTCTACTTAATACACCCTCAGTGGTTCGAAAACGCTATGGAAGTTTCGTCCGGTGTGTTACTCGGTTTAATACGAAACGTCTATGCGGATTCTATAGGGTGCGCGCCCACACCTCTAGCGTTCCTTCAGTCCATTTGCTCCTAAATGACACCTTAGCGGCACCGACGTCACACCTCAGCTGTCGCAGTGTACCTCACCTTACGGGTAGCGTAAGTGTTTACCAATGTTTTTCTGTGCGTGATTGGTTTACACGGGGAACCAACAAAAGACAACAGGCGTCGTGACGATGTACTTTTGACGCCGCTTGGTTGACTTGATCGAATCGTGGGTTGCGGTCGGACTTAGAGGGGCCATGGAATTATTTTGGTCTGGGATAAATGATTTTAAATTTGGGATTTTACTAATTGCATATCGTTTGGTGGGCCAAAAGAAACAAGGTAGAAAGTAAAAGTTTCAGTACGAAAGTTTGACTTAAACCACTTCAGCTAGAAAAGAGAAACCTTCTTTTCATTGCTAGGTGTGTTTGTTTTTTAATGGCTGCCTGAGATAAATCTTTCCTGACTGATCCGTTCTTTGCTTCAAATACAAAAAAGTAACGCCCATTAGAAGCAAACACTGACAGACAAACGGCAAATAATAAAAATTTAGGTATTATTATGGGTAAAAATGTTTGATTCAAATCCTTGTAGCCAAATCGGTGCGATCTAAATCATGATTATATCATATTGATTTTCATTCTCCACCCTGCAGACAGGGGACAGACGTGTGCATGTGTTTGTCCCTTGTCGTCCGTCGTCTCCGGTTAAAGTCATTGGTAACGTTAAGCAGCTAGCCTGTCTATTAATCTTTGCTTGACTATTTCGTACCTCTTTTCCTTTGAAAGCTCTCCGCGTATTCGCTGTGATACACCCGCGGTACTCAAAACGCTTCAGCCGGTCCCAGCTCACGCATTGCACAAGAGCACTGCTCGTCAACAATCAATCTGGCGATGAATATTTGGATCTGCGTTCGTGGCCAATAACTGCCGTGACGGCACTTATTATCACTTGCAAATGTTAAACAGCACGATGGAAGCTTGGAGTTATCGCATTCCGAAACCAACACCGGCAAAGTCGACAATCTGACACTATACATACTTATTTCCGCCGATGAAATCGAAATTATTGAGACTTACAAGGAGCGGAAGTATGAGGGCCAGCTGGTTAGGAAACATCATAATCTAAACCTATAAGACAAGGACAAAAAAAAAAATCTATTTTATTTCTCCTTGTCTCAGGGTTTAGATTTTGATGTTACTCAGACTGCCCATTCGGGGAATGCCACCGGGGAATGCTAGGAGCGCTGTCGCTGTAGCTCATCATTCATCGACGATTGCACCAGAAGCAAGAAACACTGACGGCTAACCCTGCCGACCCCAGATGGCCGTGAGAACTTCTAGCTATGGTGCAATGCTATGCCACGATCACGTGGCTTCTCCTTTTGCGTTTGAGTTGGAGGAAAGCTGACGATGAAGAAGTTGGAGAATTATCTCATGGCCCCTTTAAAGTGAAACGGAATATAGTCCTGCTGGTGGTCTTAGCTCGTTGTAACGTAGTCAAACATAGTCAGTCTCAACTGTATGAATGGGCCTTGAGTCCGACTGAAGGACATGACTGTCGCTCATGTCCCTTATTGTTCACACTTTGCAGCCCGCAGAACAAAGGGCAGCCAGAAAGGAGTCTATTTCCAGACGCTGAATTTCCCTCGTTTTCGGAACAATCAGCTGGCGATCGATGCACACACGGAAACTGTGCGCTCATGATGTCGGCGTTCATTTTGTTCGCTTACATTTGTTTATGTTAATGCGCAGTTTACACCGCCGCCGTTTCTTCATAGCTGTCTTTCAAATTAAATAATTACTGATAACTCTGACGTATTACGTCTGACGACTATGCAATTTGATTATGTAAATGGCGTATTGCATATTTACTCGCTATACTTGCTCACCGTTGCTGAACCAGGCCCGCTCGTCTACATTGCCGTAAGGTATAGAACTCGACAAAGTGAGCACGAACGCGCCGTCCCCGGGTTCTTTTCTTTTACCTCAAAGCTGTCCACAACCTTAATTTGTGTCTCTCTCTCCTTTCTCTCTCTGTCTTTCTCCTCTTGAGGTCTAACGACCTGAAGACCAGTGGAGTGGACCGCATTCCTGCGGGGCATTAACTATAGGCGCTACAATGTGTAGTCGGTACAAGTAAAACGAAAAAAAACACAAAAATACGCGCCAATGCCGTGTTTGCGCTAACTGTGTCGCTCTGAAGGGTAAGATCCAAGAATCGTGCGTGGTAAGCGCCTGCATTCTAGGTTTTCGATGTGGGATTATGGCAGAGGGTCCGGTGGCGAAATCTCTACCCGTATGCCACTATGCATGTAGCGATAGGACGACACGCATCCTCATGAAAGTCACCTTTAGATATATCTTCTTGCAGGGTGCTTTTCGATTACGATGATCCAGCGAACTTGCACAGCATCTATGAGCCTGCCCGATAATCGTTTGTCCCGGAAAATGTAGACGCGTGGTCTTTCAGGCTCAGGTGTCCGCAGCCGCTTTCAGTCGACCTGACCCTTGGTTCGGCCTTCAGCTGCAGGCCCGTGGGTGCGGCCTCCGGCGCGAGGCATGCGGCCATGCAGCTGCGCTGGGTGCTGGTGGGCCTGCTGCTCAGCCTCTCCGTGGGCGTGTTGGGCATCGTGCTGAAGCGCTTCTACCTCAACTACTCGATCGGCGACATCCTGGCCATCACGGGACTGATGCTGTTCACCACTGCCGTGGTGAGTCTGCTCCTGGCGCGCTTGGGCTTCGCCGTCAAGCGCTGTGTGGCGCGCTCCCGCTGGGCCGAGCTGCTGGGCGTGATGACGCTGCACTCAGGCACGCAGGTCGTGAGACAGCCGCAGGACGCCAGCCTATTGCCTCCCGGCACCGTGGTGTGCGTGGTGCCCCCGTCGCTCCCCGTTTTCTGCCCGGATAACGCGGGCGACATGCTCACCATCTTCGAGGACTACGCGCAGTATCCGCCCCAGCCGCGCCGGCTCTTCGACACGCACCGGGTATCCCCGGCCACGTCGCCCGAACCGCGGGCGCAGGCCCTTGTTTGTCTTCCGGACGAGCCCTTCCTGTACCTGGTGGACGCGAGCGGATCCTTCGTGCCGCTCGCCTCGCCTCAGACGTCGGCCGAACCGCCCGAACCGCCCGCCCTCCCGTTTGTGCAGGACCCACCACCGCCCTACTCGGAACTATGCGGCGACCCGCCGCCGCCCTACACAGATGCTCCCCCGATGCTCGGCGAGGCCGCCTAGAACCAACGAGAATCTATTTTGCTGCTCTCAATAAAGGACGTTTCTCGGTCCATGACCGTGAGATTTATTCTCCATAGCTGCCGTCCGGTCGTTTCGAAGGGCCCCGTGAGAGTCCAGGACCTGCCGTGGGTTCGGGGATCTTCTGCTGCCACACCTCCTGTTTCCCCGCTGCCTTTCATGGCCTCGCCGACTCGCAGCGGATGCCTGGATAGAAAATAACGACGTCAGCCGCCAATCTTGCCAATATGGATGCTTCTGCACGAACAGACGGAGTTCGGCAGTTGTTGGCGCTCTATAGTCGGTTGCAAGCTAAGAAAAAACCGGAAATGCCTCTCAGATGAAAATGTAATCCTACGCCGAGAAACGCCAGCCAATCGTTTTCATGACGTCACGATTCCGTGGACCAATCGCGATCCCTTTGAAAAAAAAAAAAAAAGAAAAGCCCAACATGGCTGCTGGCCTTAGCAACGCGACGCTAGTTTCTCGTGACAATTATTCTGCTTTTTTGCACCGTGTTTTACGTGCCCGAGGTTACGCCACGAAATCTTAATGGTATCGGCTTGCGTTTGCAGCAGTTTTTGCGCGACAACGTGAGAATCCAGCGACGCTATCGCCAACGAAAATTTGGAAGCGGGCGCGAGGCTTAGCACTGCTGAGAGGTATGTTAGACGGTATGTTAGACAGTATCTTGGACAGAAAATGAATTGGGAAGACGGTACATTGGACATGACTTTCTTTCTTTACTAAACAGCTATTTCGTTGACAAAAACGTATTCTAAATTATTTAAATGTCCTGAATGAATTAAATAAATATTGTAGTAATTTAAGACACGTTTCCTGGAGGAAGAAAAAGCAACGTTGCTAGCGAACTACTTTCTCGACGGCGGACGCACTTCAGATGGGCGCAATGCGCTTGTGGGTAGAGCTAAAAGATTGTTCTTAGGTTGCATCCGACTATAGCACGAGCCATCTGCCTTCTATGGGGCTCTCGCTACATCTGCACTTTGTTAGCAATATCACCACTGAGGCTACCGAGCTCTCGTTGGAGTCAGGTTTAACGTAAACTCACATTTTCAACTGACTAAATCTGATAAGCATCCCAGCTTTCAGGTAATGACTTGGACACATACCAGGTAAGAAATAATTAAAGGAGCTGTGGAGCATTTACAGTGCTTTGCCTAAAGAATTGTGGCATTTGGTGTCTCGATCCTTCTGAAAGACAAAAAAATCCCATTTTGCGTGCATGTCCTAGTTTTTAATTAGAAAATGACAAAGATTTATGTTTTTGGCACCCTTCAACTCATTCACCATCTTCCGGGTCACGTGCGCTGTGATGTGAAAGGAAGACACACTGGGTTTCGGTGAAGTACGGAGAATCGCTCTCTAGCGCCATCAGTGAGCAGCGAGAACTCATCGCGCTCGCAACCACGTGACCACGTACTTGTACCACGCGATCAACATGGCGAGAGGAGGTCCGTCCTAAAGCCCCTCTATCCTGGGAAAAGTGGCGCCATTCAATGTTGTGGAAATGCTCGGGACACGTGCCGCGCGCCACTTGTGGAAAGAACATGGCGTCTGAGATCTAGCTCTGCAACTCTGTGCTGTGCTGTGCCGCCATGATGTTCCCAAGCGCTGCACGTTGCACGTGCCTCGTGCATCGACGCACCTTGCGGTACTTTTGAAACATGAAGGGGCTTTAGTCCGTCCGAGTCCGTCCCGTCCAGAGCCTTATATGTAGAGAGTTTGGTCATTAATTGTTAATAATAAAGCGAAAATAAGGGCAAGTCATTGGCCGAAATTGTTTCGATGACCCTGGGCTCGATGATTTCACAGCTCTTGTGACCAACCACTAGCCTCAAATATTTGCCTAGCGGAGGCAATGAGCTTAAAATTACCCTCCAATCACAATTTCTAGATAGGGATGCATTTAGGTATTTCATTTCAGCACGCTAGAGTTAAAATTTTTTATTCTTCTCAACTGAAAGGGCAATGCACGTGACGTTGTTGTCACGGCGACATTGAGAACGCACTCAAACTTTCTTTCGACTGCACTCGCGGCCGCGGCCACGACGGAGCGGGCAATAATAACTGCGGATTCTGCTCCGTAGGAGTTGTGACCCAAACCCCGAACGCGCACCTCACATTCGCAGTGTCGCGTCATGATGCAGAACATTTTTCTGTGAATGTTACCTTCCCTGCCTCGGTAACAACTTACGAAGCAGGTGGTTGTTCGGGCCTTGGTTTTGCTCTCCCAAAGGATGGCGCATTTGGTGGAGGAGCATGGTTCGATCGTCTGTACCAAGCGTCTCGGTGGTGGGAAGTTCTAATAGCCTGCTGTGCTCTTATTCGAACTTGTGTTCAAGGGTAGCCACATTTACATGATTGAAGAAGTTGACCAGATTCGGCATTGCTGGAAGCTCATCGATTTTCTCGGCGATATCGGCTCAGACGATGGAATAGATCCCTTCGACATTGTGCCCCTAGTTGGAATCTGGGGAATCTATGCATAATGGCAGATACACGAGACGCTGCCAAAGTTGAAAGCCTCGAAGTGGTACTACATCACCTTCATCGCCTTCATTAAACTTGCAATTTTCGCAGTTGTTGAGACCTCCAAGTAATCGGAATGTAACTTCCGAACGGGATCCATAGAAAACGCGGCCGTTTGCAACTAAATAGGAACACGGGAACACTCTTGATTAGATTATTTCGGTTTATTTATTTTATTATTTATTTATTCAGATTACTTTGGTTTTATAGAAAAACAATGAAAGACGTTTACAACTCCCTGTAATGCCGAATTCGAGCGCAGCTCTTGAGGTGGAGGAGGAGGGAAGGGTACGGAGGGGACGTTATGCTTCTCCTCCTCCCTCCTCATCTACTTCCCCCTGCTCCTCACCTCCTCCCCCTCCCCCTTCCTCCTTCCTCCCCCTCCCTCCTCGCTTGGTGCATTATGGGAAACGTCCCATAATGGAATGCGCGCGTCACCGCGATGCATTATGGCACGTTTCCCATAATGCACCGCGCGGTTACGCCGACGGCGACGCGTCACGCCGACGCGTTACGACTACCGTTACGGTCGCCGTCGGCCTAACCATAACGCGTCGGCTTAACGCTTTTTCGTGACACGTCGGCGTCGCCGTCGCCGTCGGCGTAGCCGTAACGCGTCGGCGTAACGCTTTTTCGTGACGCGTCGGCGTCGGGTAACGCTTTCTCGTGACGCGTCGGCGTCACGTAACGCGTCGGTGGAACGCTTTTTCGTGACGCCTCGGTGTCGCGTAACCTATCGGCGTAACGCTTTCTCTTGACCCGTCACGAAAAAAACGTTACGCCTACGGCGATGGCGACGGCGACGTCGCTAAGCCGGAAACGGGCGCCTAAGAGCTGCGCTCTAAAAACTTCTGCCTCTAAATAAACTACACCAATATCGTTGTTGCCAAATATCGAAACGGAATATCTTAAGGCAGCACGGGATCAAAAGAAAAACAAAAAACACGAAAAACGCCTGACTCCGCCGTTAGGAGTCGCAGCGACGTCAATCATGAGGATCACGAAAAAAAAATTGTCGCATGCTCGGGTGGCGAAATGAATATACTTGAAGACCACTTTTTCTGACATTTCCGAAGAAGACTACACGAGCACAGCTGTGATCGGCGCTCAATGTGCGCGAGCGCACGGGTATACCCATAACTTTGACTTCCTTGCCAAGAAAAGTTGTCCAAAAGTATAGACTATTCCAAGCAAGGCACCCCAACTAGCTGGTGCCCCATGCGTGCAAGCACGTGCAGCTTGCGCGTTAACATAGTAGTAGTAGTAGTATAAAACGTTTATTTGAACCGCTTTAAGGGGGAGGGGGAGAGGAATGAGTCAATGGCATCGCGGCCTGGACTCGCGGTATGGGGAAAGGGAATTATATATGTACTTCTATGCCAGCTTCGTAGATATAATCCAGAAGCGTGCGTAGAGTTTGATGTTGCTTATCTGGAGGGCCTGGGGGAAAGACACAGTCCTCCATGGATGTCACCCCGTCCTCTAAGTGCTTCTTCCTTGTTGCCTCAAGGCCTTTGCAGCCCCATAACATGTGAACTAGGTCGACCGCATGTTGGGGGTCCTTGCAGTAGCAGCATGTCGGTGTTGTGCGCGCCTTTTCCCACGCTGCTCTTCCGTTCAGCGTGCAGGCGTTCTCCTCCCAAAGCCTCGCGGCAGTGGTTCGGAGATGGGTGGAAGGTGTTCCTTCAGCGCAGTACGGGACGAAAGTTTGATCTGCTGTTTAGCTTCGTCGGGGTCATAGTCGTCTTCGTCTTCGTCATCTTCGGGTGAGGAAGATGCGTAGCCGTGATCATGGAGGTGGCAGGGCGGCTTCTGCGTCTCGCGGAGTGTAGCTATTAGCGCGCGAGCTGCAGAGTGGGCCTGCTCATTGCCAGCTAGGCCTGCGTGGGCGGGCGCCCAGGAAAGTTGGACTTTTGAACCTTGCAGAGAAAGTTGGAGGGCCATCTTTTTTATGGATTTTGCTCTTTTGCAGGGGTTGTTCCTATTTCTGCACTCGGTGAGCGAGGCTACCGAGTCCGTAAAAACGTGGAGCTCTTTTGGTCTAATGGTTGTGTCGTTGAGGACTGTTTCAATCGCATATTGAATCGCTCCGAGTTCGCCACCCTTGACGGAGGTGCTGTTTGGTAATTGTTTGGAAGATATAATTCCTTTTCCTGGTATTGCCACTGCGACCGTAGCAAGTTGGTCTGGGAGTGTCGCGAAAGCCGCGTCTGTGTAGACGGCTAGCTTCTCTGCCGAGCTTTCCCAGGTCTGTATTCGTTTGTTGTGGCTACTGGCTTGCGATTTCTGACGATCTGGATGTCTCAAACTCGCGTTCTTCGGGATGGGCTTGCCTTCTACGAGGTCGATGTAGTCTAACCAAGGAGGGTCGTTCTCTGGGAAGTCGGGAAGCGGGAGTTTAAGTGCTTGAATCAGACTGAGAATGGTTCTGCCGGGTCGTGAGTGTTGCAGTCGTTCACGGTGGGCGGCACATCGTACCATTACAGTTTCTTGCAAGTTGTTGAGCTGGGCATGTTCCATAAGTGTCCCTATTGGTGTGAATCGAGGTAAGCCGGTAATGACCCGTGCAGCTTGTCTGTTGATGGTTTCCAGTTTTTTCCACTGGCTTTTTGAGATGTTGTAATACGAAGCTCAGTAGCAGACTTTTGATACGA